TAAAGCTGTACCAGACGTGGCTACTCAGAGCCTAGACGCACCTCTCAACAGTGCTCTTCAGGCTGTGACTCTATCACCTGGGGTATGTGATTATTTTCCAAGAGATATGAGAATAGGGATCATTTCTAGGAAATCAATTTCAGATCCTCAACTTCTGCATAAACTCTTTCCCAAAATGAATTTCTGTGAAGGTCCATTTGATAGGTTAATACTTTCTCCTTTAACTGCTCTTCTCCATAAAAACAAACTCACTTCTCACCCGTAAGTTTACATGGTACATTAGAAAATTTACCACGGGTGTTTCATGTTTCTGTAGGTCTTGAGAGTTGAGAGAGAGGCACTAACTGCCCTTAACTCCAGACTGTCTTTCAAGGATGTCTGTGTCCTTGTGAACATCCTTGGAACATAGCACATCCCTTTATCTGAAGAGCAGACATGTTTACTGCTATGTCCCCTCTCCACCAAAAGATACTGAAGTCCTAATCCCCAGTACCTCAGGACACGACTTTATTTGGAAATAGGGTCACTGCAGATGAAATTAGTGAAGATGAGATAATACTGCAGCAGGGTGGGCCCCTAGTCCAATGTGACTGGTGTCCTTGTAGAAGACAGCCATGTGAAGATAGACACACACATAGAACGCCACATGATGACAAAGGCAGAGACTGGATTTGTGCAGCTTTAAGCAAAGGAACACCAAAGATGGCCAGCACACCACCAGAAGCTAGGAATGCAAGGAACGACTCCCCTACAGGTTTCAGAGGGAAGCCAGCCCTGCCACCATCTTGACTTCAGACTTCCAGCCTTCAGAACTGAGAAACAATACATTTCTGTTGTTTTTAAACCACCCAACTTGTGGTACTTTGTAATGGCAGCCCTGGGGAACAAATACACTTACTGTGTAGAATAACAATGTCTCGCTTGGGCAAATGGAAGGTATGCTTATTGACAAAGATTTGGGTTTCCTAAGGTTAGAATTCTCTCCTGAAATGCAACCTATTGTGTGAGCAGGCGTCCATCTGGGCCCATCCACATTGGCCCTGAGGGAAACGGGGCTCAGAGAATCAAAGCAAAAATAGTGATTTTTCTGGCTATTGCTACTGCTGTGAGTAACTGTCTCCTGTGTTCTGCCAGCATTCCTCAAACTGTGGCAGGGTTAACTTGTAAAATCTCAGAACCTTCACAGCTCTTAACGTGGGGTACTGCTACACGGTGTAAAGACCTCTGCCCACCAAAGGAACATTTAACAATGGGCTTCATTAACCAACCCACCACAGACACAGTACCTACTCATTTCATTGAAAGAGATATTTCAAATAAAAGGTTCCAATAAAATTTCTAATATATATGTCATTCGGTCATTAGACTCTTAGAACCTTATAGTAAGAGAGAACATGTATATTTATATACATACATATATATAAAATATGCTGAGAAGTATTTAATAGGGTGATCCACAAAGACCTTTAAGAAAAAAAAATCATATTAGGATAATTTCTGTGGGAGAAGTAGAATGGAATTCAGGGAGCAAAAGGAGCAACAGAATATTTCCAACTGTTACAAACGCTGATTAAGAGGTTTTTAAATACTTAACTTGGCAGCTACTGAGTCTCTATTATACCAAGATTTCACTGGGTCCATTTTAAAGAACAATGAACACTTTTACCTTAAATGTGAATCTCTATAATACACAATAAAATGAATTATTTGAGACATTTAAATGTGATGATGATTTCAGATTTTTTTTTAAAATCCATCAAGTTATCATGGTTTTTCCAAAACTGACAGAGAGGTTTACAGGTAGAACAGTTTGAAGACTAGTCACTGCCTTCCTGTTTACAGCCGGCTCAGCACTTGGCCTGCCTGGCTGGCTGAAGCCAGCTTGCCTCACTCCCAGCACTGACCAGTTAGGCCCCATGTTTGTCATGTTTGACTGCCGTGTCACCATCCTCAGCACAGTTGATGTTTAACTGTAGTCAAGTGAATGCATGTTGAATCCTGGAAAGGGGTCATGCATATCCCTCTGTCTGCTTCTGCTTTGGAGACCAGCTGCTCTACCACTGGTCCAGCCTGGGGTGACTGAAACCAGGATGGCTCTGGAATCAAGGGGGGTCTTACACTGCCAGATGTTAGCACACCAAAAATGAAATGAGTCTAGACCCCATCTGTAAATGTGACCAGCTGAGTCCTTATACATCTCAGATCAAATGAGGTATCAGATTTTCAAATTCAACCAAATTCTGGAATTACTCTACAGGTTTTAAAACCAGCAGAAGCCCCCTAGGGACAAAGTTAGCCAACATCCCAGTGATTATCTTCCCCTGCTTGGTCAATGTCGAGTGTCATCCTACATTTTCCTGTTATCTCTGCAGGGCTAAGCAGTTCGTCAGATGCATGTCAGCACGGCTGCCTCTCCTGCCCCTCCCCGGTTTCTACCACCACTCAGAATCCTGCCCCCAGGTGCTGACATTCGGTAGGGGCTGCAGAAAGCAGGACCCACTTCATCTCTCTATTTTCCAGCATTGATATCTGACACATACCATATGGTTTTAAATTTAAAATATCCCAGAAACTGACTTCACTCTCAAAAGCAGATTGAAAAAATATGCAGACAAGTCAAAATACTCACATTCTATGAAGCCTCATGGATTTACAAGATATCAAGAGAAGTCTCCAAAGGCACAAGTACATATCAAGCCTATTTCTTCTGACTCATTTCCTCTGGAGAAGCACCTTAGAATTATTCAGGCAAAAGGTCATGAAATAACTGCACTGGTAGAAAAACTAGAGGGGGAATTGCTGAACTCTACCTACAGGGCTTTCCTGGGAAGTCAAGTGGCGTGTTTTTTTTTTGCTTCTCGCTTGGATGGGGGGAAATAATCTATTTTTTTAAACTTTCTTAAAGGAAAAACAAAATCAGAAGTTAATGTAATGTTTTCATACAGATGAATTATAGAAAAGAGACAAAGAATGACCTTTTACTTAATGATAGAAATTATAGTAAAAATACACATAGAAGGATTTTAGTTCTGAGTAGCTTTTCTTGCGGAATAATCTGCTAGATACATACAGCACTGCTTGGCTGTAGTTGGCTAAGTGTCTTGTGGGCTCACGATGTGGCTGGGCTTAATTGTGGTCACCCCATTAGTGTCATTACTGAACTTTTCCCCTTCTAAATTCCTTCGCAACCGCCTGAAAAGGACTAACTCGTTGTAGAAACAAAATAAATACTTTCAGAGGCTGCTTTCCAAAATTGGGTCAGAGACGACTCGGGTATGTCCTGGCTCCCTGAGGCGTGGGGAAATTTTCAGTGGCTAAAGTGGAATTGTTGTGGAAGGTATTAGAAACTAAAAAAAGGGAGGGAGGGAGGTACAAAGCAGAGGAAAATAGTTAACAGTAATAGAGACAAAATTAACCATGAGGAAGAAATAAGGAAAGATCATAATATTTACATAAAAGTGTCTTACACTAAGGGGGAAACAATGACTGCTTTGTTTCAAATTCGGGGTTAGATGTAAGAGGCAGAAGGCAGAAATCCTCATAAATTCTTACATATTTCTTTTAAAACTTCCCAGTGTCTCTGGAAGATGCTATCCAATTAATTCATAATTTTTAAAACTGGCAAAAGAATCAAGCACTTATCCAGTCATTCCTATCTGAACTGTTCTTCAAGGTAACCAAATAGTTGGAGGTGAAGTTTCTCTTTGTAGATTTCTGTCTAATAAATGAAAATGAAATGACATAATTGGAATATCACCATTTTGTAACCTCTAGTGATATAACCAAGTTAGGGAATGCCAGGTATTAGCTGCTTAATAAAACACACAAAAAAAATGAAGGAAGGAAAGAAGGCTGGGAGGGAGGGAAGAAAAGAGGGAGAGAGAGCAATGGAGGAAGGGAGGAAGGGAGAGAGTCACAGATATCGTAAACAAACTTATGGGTATGGGGGAGGGTGGGACGGGGGTTGGGAAGGGATAAACTGGGAGTCTGAGATGTGCAAATACTAACCACTATACATAAAATAGATTAAAAAATAAATTTCTAATGTATAGCACAGGGAACTATATTCAATATCTTGTAGTAACCTATAATGAAAAAGAATATGAAAACAATTATATATATGTACATGTATGACTGAAACATTATGCTGTACACCAGAAATTGACACAGCAACTGACTATATTTCAATTAAAAAAAAGAAAGCAAGAAAGAGAGAAATTCAGAGAAAGACTGAATCTGATCAAACATTGTGATCTAATTCCCAGTATAAAGGTGGGAAAAAGAACAGAAAACGTGTTAAACAACAGTTTTGAGGACACCATCAGCAAAACTCTGACTGTAAAAACTTCACAGGAGAATTGAACTAAACATTTCAAAAGGCAGAGACTGTCAGATTGACAAGCACATAGTTGGTTACCGCTCTTTTTAATCAGTCTTCTCTCTTTAGTTCTCACTACAGACACTTTAAAAACAAAGATACAAAGAATGAAAAGCGAGACTGGAAAAAGACATAACATGCAAACAGGAAGTTTAAGCAAGCTGGGACGGTCATAAAAATATGAGGCAAAACAGACTCCAAAGCAGTAGTAATGGAAATAAAGTAGGAAACTTCACAACAATTAAACGGTTAATACAAGAGAAAGACAGAAAAACTATAAATGTATATGGACCTAATAAAAGGGCTTCAAAATACAAAATGCAAAAAACTGACAGAAATAAATCTACAGTCGCCGTTGGAGATTTTAACTCACCCCTCTCGTGATAGAGCAAACAGACAAAAAAAATACCAGTAAGAAAATACAAGACGTGACATGATGCCACCATCAATCATAAAAATTTGGGAACAAAGAATCACAAAGACTCTAAAATAAGTAGAGTGGGTGGGTTGGTTAGACATTTATCTGCCTCTTTTTTTAAACTAGTTCTTTAAGTACTGTTCACACTTAATAACTAAGCATAGGTTTGTCACCGATCAGAAGAGAAAGACGAGAACAGAGGTATTAAGTTTAAAGAAAGAGTGGTCCATCGTTTATTTACACGGCGTTCAAACTCAGGCAAGCTTGCAAAGCCTTTTTTACATGTGTGATCTCACTCCATTCTTACACGTCCTTTGAAAAAGGCAGCCCGCGTTGCCTTAACCCCATTTTACAGACAGGGAAATCAAGCGCAGAGGCTCACCTGCCAAACAACTGCAAATTTGCTGCTGGGTCAAAGGGTGAACTTATTTAGATTATTCCCCTGGGTGACTCTGCTGGGAGTGCAGTGAAATGCTAACAATTTTGTTTCTTCAAAGTAAATTTTCTCCAGTATTTCCAAACACACAAAGCAATCGTACAAGGGGCATTAGCTCCTCAGTTAAGAATTCAGCTTTACTGTCACACACATACCAAAAGTGCCATAGTCAGATACCAGGCTGTTCCCCAGAGGACAAAGTCGTAAACGTTCACCCTGTGTCCGAACAGCCTAAAGTGAACACTCCTTGAGAGAGCTGTTGGCAAACTAAGTGTTGACCACATTCCTGGTTACCCATAATAACTGATTAAGCTGTGGTTTAGAAACAAACTTCAAAGCAAGCAGTCTGCAGAAAATATGGGGACTGACTCTTCCAATTAGCAAAACTCAGACTCTATAGATCATTTTGTTACTGATTTTAGACGACAAACCTTAGGGTAAAATGACTTTGTTTCTCGGCTTGAACGAAAATATGTTTAAAAATAAATATACAATTCAAATATGTTCTAGGCAAGGACTAGTTATTTAAATACTGTATAAATGTTTTATTTACACTCTCTTCCATGTTCCACTGAGGCATATTTCTTTTAGGTACATGGGAGACTGTATCATTAAGGCTAATGGTGGTTTTCTCTAGGAAAAAAAAAATACATGAACACCAAAGGAATATTTTTCAGCTTCTTGGCAAAACACAAAAGCGAGGGGAAATGATGTGGCTTTAGTTCCAATTGTTTTCATTTTTTTCTGTCAGCTCAATGTTGTAAAATGTGTCCACATTTTATAGAACCTGAGTACATAAAATGCAGAGGTAAATCACTACTTTCTGTCTAAAGCAAACCGGCTTTTTACAAATCATTTGACTTTTATTTAAAAAAAGAAAGAAAGAAAAGAAAGAAAGAAAAGAAAACATGCTCTCCCCAGAAAATAACAGGCCAGTGGGTTCTCCTACGGGGGAGTCGGGTTTGAGGTGGGCAGGCCCCCTGCATGGACTCACAGGGGCGCCCTGGTCCCTGCCGGCTGCGGCTGCCCCCTGTAGTCACCAGAAACAGGACTGAGCTGATCACGACACTGCATACAAGTTTTGAAGAAACTACCAAATAGTAACAACTCAATTACCTTTTGTGGCTTATTTTTATTCCAAAGCAATAACCGAGAAGGGAAGGTCTCCACGGCCCGTTTTGCCTTCACTGATCCACCTCCTTCCCCACAAACACCTACTGAAGGAAGGTGTTAAAGCAGCATGTGTTAAGATGCATCACCGCTTCTAAAAATAATCTGGGGGAGCCAGGCATGAAACCCAAGTTCAGGTGTGCTTAACTATGGAATTCATTACTCAACTAGGAAGGGCGTTCTTTTCAACGCACAGCTGGTTTTTAGCAAGTAAAAGGTATCAAGACCTCCACTGTGATTTTGTAAAAGTAGGCTAAGTCGCGTGAATTTACGCGTAAAAGTAGCTGAAAAACCAAGACTGCGGCGTGCTTTTTCAGCCTAAAAATAACCAGGGGGTGGAACCAAACGGGAACCTACATTTCAGCAGAAAGGTGATAAACAAGAGAGCCAAGCAGATACTATGCTGAACAACGAAGAAACCCCACTTAATGGCTTATGCTGACTTGAAAACAGAGCGAAAAATTCAAACTTTTAAAAAATTCTTTCTTGGAGGGAGGCTGCGGCGGGGCGAGGGGCCTGCCTCCCGCGCCGCGTTCCGCAACCCGACCCCCTGCCCGCCGCGCTCGCCCGGCGCTCCGGCTGGTTGCTCGGCAGGCCGGCCGCCCACCCCGCTCCCCCTCGAGCTTGAAAAATTCAGACTTTACGAAGGTGAAAACAAACGCAGTTAGGTGTGTAGGTCACCCCCCCAAAATAACCTATGGCTATTAGAGTTGCCGTGAAGCTCCTCAGAACTGTTAAAACCTGACAATACGCAACCACTCTGATTCACCTTCGATTCCAGTAACTGACAGAAATTTCTCACCGAGACCCTAATTTTGGCATCAAAAAAATGAGTTTGTTGATCAGAATCGTAAAACTTAAAATTTCACTATAATTTGCTAATAGTAAAAAAGCCATTTAATATCGTACCCCAATCACTCACCAAGGAAGGGGGGGAAGGAGACAGCGTTTGGAGTTGCATCGGAACACAATGTTTACAACAACATAAAATATCCAGAAAGGAAAATCAAAAGCCAATAAATATTCAGTCTACATGAAATACAGGAAAAGAGGAGAAAACACTGAGAGTACCTTGCTGTACCACGGAGACAGGAACCATGATCCCTTCCTAGGTTACTCTTTGGATATGTAATGCAGTTGGCTTTAATTGCTTACGAGTGTGTGATACAATTAGGGAGAATCTGTCTTTAGCTCTGAAAGAAGCACGAATGCACGAAAACTCTAATCACAGACCACTGTGGATTGTTAGAGCAATTAAGAACACAATGTCCAGCCTTGAAAACCTTTCACACATATCACCTGCTAACCTTTGGATCCAGGTTTCAGACTTGCAAAAACCTTGGGGTTCTTAAGGGCAAGCGAGATCTCGTTAAGGAAGGAAATAAAGTGGGAGTCTCTTTCGGATTTCTTTGACTCAAAAATGACAACAATGGTAAAGTGAGGCTCTGGGCGGGTGAGGAAGTAGGTGCTCTGAACTTTGTCGTCATAGAAGTGGACCACTTTCTCCAAGCTGTTCAGGTCGGACGTGCGGTCTGTCATGATCATGATGACGTTGGGCCAGTGCATGACAGGCCTGTCGCTGGGCAGAGACACCACGGCCGGATACTGATCCACACCCTTTGGGGCCTCTCTGTAGGAATGGGGGTGGTGATAGCCGTGACCCTGAAAGCTCTCGGAACCTCGGTTGTCAAAGATTAAGGACACGTTGGCAGCATCGTATTTCCTGATGAAGCTGGAAATCTTTCCAAAGAGGTCTGGGTTGGCTTTTGCAGTCAGTGTTTTCATTTCCGAAGCAGTCGTCTGTCGGCTCAGTGCCTCGTGAAAGTAAAAGCTAAATTTGGCAAGAAGCATGTTTTTGAGTTTCATTAGCCAAAGGAAAAGGTGTGGGGGCTGAACGGCCTTCTGAGACTGCCCTCCAAACAGATGTTTCTTGGTCTCCCGTTGCTTTTCAAAGATCTGGCCCCAGGTCTGGAGCTTGGTGTGAGCGCTGTGTAAGTTAACCAGAGACGGGAGAAACTTCCACTCAGAGACCTGAGCCTGGGCCTTCAGTAGATGACTCAGGACATCGACTTCCAGCTGGAAACTGCTTTCCAGGGGACTGAGGATGGGGTGGTGAAATCTAAAAGGGGAAGGGAAATTTACAGAACTAAGTGGAAATGTGATACCTGGATGACATTTTCTAGCCTCAAAAAAAACAAAAAACAAAAAACAAAACCCAGAACAGTGTGGTCAGACAACTAATATTATGTTTGGGGGCTGAGAGTGAAGGAAAGATGGAAGGACTCCATGTTGATTTATTTAAAAGATCATTCTGACATAACTTCACCATCTCAGAATTATGTCAGCATCATAGACTCCCCCGGAAATAGCCTGATGTCAAAAAAAAAAAAAGAAGTGGCTACCTTCTTTTCCTTCTTTTCAAATACAGAGAAACTGAATTAGCTATAAGTCTTTCTTAACTTATTTCATTTATTCTGGGAATTATATTTATTATGAGAACATTATCATCAAAACAAGGCATCCTATGATTTAAATGAAATGAAGGAATTTCTCCCTGGTGCAATCAGAATTATTATAAGAAGTGGGGGGGAAAGTAAGCACTTCTCTCACCAAGTGACTCTCTATCACTCTATCGTGCCTCTATACCAGTAGTTAAAATAATTGACAAATAAAATGCAATATTGATAACTAAAAAAACCAAAAAAACAAAAAACAAGGCATCCTATTTTCAGGGTGTCGTCCAAAAGGGGCAAAGAAAAGGTCACTAAAACATCTTTTAAATGTGTATAGAACACATAAACTTATTTAATGCTCTCAGTAACTCTAAAAGGTATTATTAAACCTATTTTGCAGATGAGAGTAGAGACTATAAACCAGTATCTGAAATATGGTATATAATCAATAAATGTTTATTCAAGGAATAGAACATTTACCAAAAGCTCTCATTCCATCCTAGTTCCCAAATTCCCTTCATATTTAATCACAGTTAAAAACAAAATGGTGGCCTAATTAAAAAAGTCTTACACTTCACTCACTTTCTATTTATCTCAGGATAAAATCCAAAATCCTTAAAAAGGTTTACAAGGCCTTGAAGAATCTGGCCCCTTCTCAGCTGGAGCCGCATTCCCATTCTTCTCACTTTCTCCAGACATTAAATAATGAGAAATGTGACGCTATCATAAAGGTTAAGGTAATAGTGCTGTTGCGTTTCTACTTGTTCCAGACAGAATGTTTTTAGAATTTTTTGACCATGACCTACAGTAAGAAATACTAGGTGACTAAGGACATACACCTGTAGATAAATAAAAGGTTTTAAAATTTCATATTCACCCTTACTATGCAAAATGTACTCTTGATATTTAGTAATATATAGAGAGTAAATTAGATGACTACTCACTAAATTAATTTTATGATTCATGGACTGCTACCTGCTGTTTGTAAAACATCTTTCTACTTCCCGTGTATAGTAGATTGAAGGGGGTGGGGACAAGATGTGTGAGGAGCCTCTCTCCCAGGCAGAGGTGGGAAAAGCGCACCCGCAAAGACCCTGAGGCCAGTAAGAGCTTGACCCGCTTCCATCACCACTACTTTCTGCTACTTTAGGTCTCCTCTTTAGAGTCACCTCCTTAGAAGTGTCTTTTCTGTCCACCCCAGACTAGGTCGGGCCCCCTGATTACATCCTCTAGTTTCTTATGACCTGTCTTCCCTTGTGGTAGCTTAATCATATAATTTATCAGACAAACTGGGACATAGGGTCACCCTTGCTTTGAGCTCCTCCTGAGGGGAAGTAAAAGCTGCCCACTTCCTTCACTCCTTATCTCGAACCTATGGCACATAGTAGAAAATTGGTCAATGCAGTAACTATGTTAAGAGCTGAATCCTAGTTTCTGCCTCATTGATTCTGTCTTTTGCTTATGATCTCAAATGAAGTTCTGTAACAATGAGATGGAAGGGTTACAGAGAGGCCTCTCTGTATGGACCACTTAGAGCTTTCTTGCTCATCTTTTTCTTCTGAAAAATGCCCAGGGAGTTTCAGTGTCTGCATGGCCTGGTGCATCCTCCTTCTCAAGGAGCCTACAGGAAGCCCTTACACTCTTCCTCAAGTTCCAATGCATCTGGGGAGGTTTCAGGAATCATCTTAGCAAGATATGGGAAGATCTAGCGTTTTCTGAGCATACCCCCATGCCCCAGGCACCATGGGAGATGCTTTACAGGCCTGAGCCCACGTGATTTATTGCTTCACTGTCAATGAGACCTGCGAGTCTTACACAGCTGTTTTGGCCTCAGCTGAAGAGGATAATGCTGGTCATCAATTAAACAATTAGGGAAAAAAATCACAAGTATATCAAGATTTTTTAAAAATCTATTTAAACACAATGGCTTGTGATTCAGAGAGCCCACACTAGGTTGGATATTATAAGATAGAAACTGATTATCATGTGATAAATAGGATGCAGTTATTCACATGACAGTAACACATTGTTTTTTTCCCTATTACTGGCATTTTACAATTCACATCCTTCAAGTTAGGGAAGCTAAAACGTGGGTGGAAGATATAGTCTAATAATACACTCAAAGAATCAGATAGATACACCAGATGTCAAATCCTCTGGTTCATGTGCTCAATTAATTAATTTGGACTCTTCAAACACTACACAATTCAAAATAAACATTAAGAAAGTCTAATACACACACACTATAGCATGTCTCAAAATCTCTGCATTCTAAGAAATGCTCTTACCACCTTAGCCTTCAGGCAACCTGACAGTTAATGAGCATTAAGTATAACAAGATTCTATAATCATGGGTATCAAGAAAATCTGCCAAGGAACTACAAACACAGTAAGACTGTTAATAACCAGGAGAATGGTATCATTCTACCGCAAATAACAAAACTTGAAGTGATTTTTCTGTTTCCAGTAGGAAATCCATTTATATCCAAGGTTCTCCTTGAAAGAACATGAATTCTCTGTACAAACCTTCAGAAAGAATTCTGCACAAGCTCTTCCATAAACATATGCTAAAAGTGTTTAGACGTTCAACATTTATTAGGATGAAACGTGAATGCTGAAGATACTTTTCATCCTTAAAAAGAGCTATAAATTCATGCTAATGTTATTCTGCCAAGACTTTGAGATTAGCGTTACGTTGTAGCATTTTCCCATTCCCACTCTGTGCCTCATACCTATTCACATCTCACACCATGGCGGTGGAGGGGGGGGAGTCTGTTAAATTGTTGTAATCCAAAAATATATACCTCAGCTATGGCAGCAAGCTTGAGAGAGTCCGAATACAGAATAAATTGACAACTATTTGCAGAAAACATCTGCTCCAAAAAAAGCCAAAAAAGAAGACAGAAAAAGAGAGAAAGAGCTCGAGCACGCACTCCCTCCCCATCAAGGAGTTCCTTCCAAAAGTACGTGGGTCCCCTGCATGTGAGTAGTCAGAAGCCCAATGAAAAATTAAACTGTAGCACCATGTGAATCTATGAAATGTCACAGAACTGCACACTTTAAAATGGTTAAAACAGTAAGTTTTATGTTATGTATATTTCACCAGTTTTAAAAATCTATAATCTCATTTAAAACAATTAGTTTACTAGTTTTTAGATACAAATGGGGAGGAAGCTGTAGCTCAGTGGTAGAGCGTGTGCTTAGCATGCACGAGGTCTTGGGTTCAATCCCCAGTACGTCCGTGAAAAAATAAATAAGCCTAATTACCACCCAGTTCCAAAAAAAAAAAGTAGAAGCAGATACAAATGTGCTGCTGAAGATATAAAGATGAATTAGCCAAAGGTTTGCCCTATAGGACTTCCCCTGGTGAAAAGGAGATATTTACAATGGACACAGGTAGGAAGTAATACCTCTCTTACAAGGGGTACAAATCAAATAACAGTTTAGAAAAAAGAGTAATTCCTTTCGGTAGAAAGATTGTGCAGGCTGTAGAGGAGATAGGATTTGAACTGAGCCATAAAGCTTAAAGAGAAGGTAGATTTAGCCAGGTAAAGATGAGGGCTTAACTCTCTGGCCCCAATTCTTAACCACCCCTGATTCCACACCCTCGGTTGTGTGTGCCTCTGCAGCTCCTCCCACCAGAGGGGAAGGGTACCCTCCCACCCCAACCACGGATCGGGCTCTGTGATGTGCTTTGGCCACAGGGATGGTAACAGATCTGACGCAAACAAAGGCTAAAAAGGAGGGGGTCGGGCTTGCTCTCTTGCACTTGGGCCATCATCCCTGGGTAGCTGCTTCCCTGCTAACCTTGGGCTCAGAACGAGCGCACGTGGAGCTGACGAGGCCCAGCGCTCACAGCTGTAAGCCAAGCGCCAAGCCCCAGGAGACCGATCACATTAAGCAGAGCTTCCCAGATTAGGCCAGCCAACTCCCAGAAGGCCTGCAAGCCTGCGAATGTGATTTTTGGGGTGGTCTGTTATACAGAATGATTATTTCAACAAGTGATACATAGTGGAACAGGATGGGGTTCAGAACATGCTACCCCAAAATATGGCATCTTGGTATATTGACCATTTTAAGCTGAACGAATTTGAGAAATGGCAGGAAGGACTTTCTGACCCCCTTCTGAAGCAGGTCACAAAACCCTCAGGTAAGACCCTCCCTGTATCCTGAGGAAAGGCACATCCTTATCTTCAAAGACAAAAGGTCACAGAGAAGAATCTGAATGAACAGGCCTCACTGTTTCCCCCAGTTTAGTACACTTAGCTCACACCTTTTTTTATCCTAGCACATTTTTTCCACATCCCTCCACTCTTCACCAAATCTAGCATAAAAACACAGGTTTAAGGACTTCACTGGGCCTTCATTTCTTTATGAAGGCTTCCATACCTGATAAAACCTATATTAAATACATTTGTATGATTTCCACTTGTTAATCTGTCTTTTGTTAAATGGCCCCCAGCTGAGAACTTAGATGGGTAGAGGAAAAAGATATTTTTTCCTCCCCTACAAATTCAAGGACTTTCTAAGCAAACTAAGTAACAGGAACCAAGGTAGGAAATGGGAAATTCGGGGAATACATTACATTGTGGACTGTGTTGGGGGCTTCTGCTTAAATCCTCAAAGTTTTCTCTTTGAAGCCGCTTCCTTTTTACTAAGAATTTGAGTGCAATTTAAGGCATCTGATGGGCCTTAGATAATTTGAAAAGGTAGGCTGGGGCAAGATCGCAGAAAGCCTTGGATTTTCACAGTTAAGATCTACATACGTCAAACGCCTAGAGCAGAATGCGCCCCACAGAAATTGCACTATTGTTGGTTTTGCTTATGAAATTTTCAGTGGGCAATAAATAACCTTGTTGAACTACACACACACAACCAACTTTCATTAATAGTCTTATAATCAAAACAAACAAAAACACAACAACAACAAAAAATAGTCTTATCATCACAAATCTTTTCTTGAAGGAAAAAGGGCATAAAGCCTAAATAAATCACAGTTCTGCCTTTGGTAAGAATTCTGCCATTTGAAGCATTCAGATAAAAAAAAAAGTGTTTCCTAAAATGCAATAAGAAATTTTACGTAACTCAGTTTTTTAAAAAAATGTTTTTTAAATTCTAGCGATAAAATTATGGTTAAATAAAAATCATTTAATAGAATATTATTGCCACATCAGATAGATTTTTAAAAGCTGTCTAGAACGCACAAATTGCTAACTTCTTTAAAAGAATTATTTCTTAAAAATTATCTTCTATAACTAGTGGTTACCAGTGGGGAGAAGGAAGGGGGGAAGGGCACCATAGGAGTAGGGGATTAAGAGGTACAAACTATTATGTATGATAGACGCTACAAGGATACATTGTACAACACAGGAAATACAGCCAATATTCTATAGTAACTATAAATGGAGTATAACCTTTAAAAAACTGTGGATCACTATACTGTACACCTGTAACATATAATATTGTTTATCAAATATATGTCAATTAAAAAAAGTATGTTCTTGATGTAGGAGAGTAAATACTAATTTGCATTTAAAATCTATCTTCCAGTTTTGTTTTAACCAGATTAGCCAAAATTTTCTTTATGCCCATTGTACAAAACAGTTGGGTAAATAAATTCAAAACAAATTCAAAATAAATTCAGAATCAAAAAATGTTCCATTGATGCTTTCTTGGGGAAAAAAACAAAACAAAAACAAACCCAAGCTCTACTTCTCAAAAGTATTCAAGGAATAGTAGACATCCTGACCCTCCACGAGTTAAATCCATATTTTTTCTTCTAATGAAAACTCAAATGATTAATGTTAATTATTTAGTCTGAAATGCAGCATCACAAATGACTGTGATTCTTAAACAAGAATTTATATTTGCTTAGTAATGTAGTAAGTTTGCCTAAAGAAGAAACCTTTAACATCATTCTAATCTGAGCACAACTGGCTTCCAGAGTCAAAAACAAAACACGTTTTCCCTTCGTCTCTGAACGCAGATGGGACATTGCAATCACTCATACTGAATCTGCATCTCAAATCAGTGCCAGAGGTTTAGACTCCACGATATACATCACACTTGTTAACTTTTTAATACAAAAGCATTTCACTGGGGGACAAGGGGTATAGCTCAGAGGTAGAGTGCGTGCTTAGCATGTACAAAGTCCTAGATTCAATCCCTGGTACCTCCACTAAAAATCATAAACAAATAGATAAACCTAATTACCTCCCACCCCAAAAATTAAAATAAAATCTTTTTTAAAAAGCATTTCATTGTTTGAAAGATGAAAGATTCACACAATTTTTTTTTATCAGTGTTCTGATGTGGATCATGTATATTGGGACAAATCAATAGTCCCTGAAAGATAACTTGGGCCATTTGGGAGAAGGATTAACTCTTTCAATACAACAGAATACCAAAATATGAATTATTTCTCTAGAACACCAGAACCATCAAAAAAGTGTGCCTGGTGTAGCACAGATGTCAAATCAAAAAGACTACAGAAAAAGGAATGTTATCCTGGCAAAGGGCAAATCATGTTAATTTATATCTAAAATAATTCCACTTCCCAAAGAAAATCAATGTATTATGCAGAATTTCAACTTCTCAGAAATTCTAAACTACAGAATTTATATTGTTCAAATTAACCCAAAGCCTCTTAGATAATTTTCAGACTAGATTGTGTCTGCGATCAGTAATTCCCTATTAATTAGACAAAGGTAGCACTGATGGAGGATGGAGACTACAGATGAAAACACCTATTGACCATCTGTGATAATACAACCCAGCTCCATCCATATCCACTCAGCAGGATGAGGGGTACACCCAAGTACTGCCCTAAGAGCTACCAGAATGAAATCTGGGCTTTTGCTACTGAAAAAATGCCCAAGGCTCTGGGAAGTGGGATGTTTCAAAGAAGGTTCAAAGATGATAGATCACAAATCTAATAAAATAAAAATAAAAACAGTTAAATAATAATAATCCTTCATTACTATGACACAATATACCCACACGCACGTGTGCACACACTGGTAAAGTTCAACAACCAGTATATCCCAGGGTTGGCATCTTTCTCTTATTTATCCAGTTTTCCCTTGCAGACTTCTGTATCTGTATCACAGGGAACTTTTAAAACAGACAGGTTTCTGTGCACCCAATCAAAAACTGCTAAGTCTTACTCTCTTGGGAAAGAAGAAGACAGGCCCAGGTCTGGCTGTTTTCTTAAGGTCTGGAAATGGTTCAGCAAAATGCTTTCACATTAGCATTTGGGAATCACCACATGAGATCTCTTCCCCTTGAGAATCCTATCTCCAACGGTACTGTAGTTTTTGGTTTTTAAAAAACTTATTTGATTAAAAGAAAACATATGCTAATCAGATTTGAGGAAGAAATTAAAGAATTTTCCAAACAAAATATTTGTAAATGTGTAAATTTGTTTATAAAAAAATGTGAGTTATTTATATACACAGACCATCTCTTGAGAATAATACAAAGAACTTATTAACATTGATTGACTCTAGGGAAGGGAATTAAGTAGCTGAAGAACAGGGGCCAAAGACAGACTTTTCACTATTCTATTCTTTTGTATGTTTATAAACTTCAAGCCATGTTAATATATTGCCTATAAAAATAAATAAAATGAAAATTTAGACTACAGTTGACCCTTGAATGATGCGGGCTTGAATTCCCAGGTTTTCTTCAAAGTAAATCCTTTGAATCCCTGGATCGGAAACACAGACATGGAGGAACTGCAGATATTTTTGCTTTCTACCTACCTTTGCTTTCAAAATCCTACCTGCCTTAAAAGTCTTCTCAGATGGTACCTTCTTTCTGTAGTCTCTTTTAATCTCCCCACTTTGCCCCCTTCCCCCAGTCCATTAATGAGATGAGTATCAGTCTTCATTTGTGAATATAAATTAACATATCTGCCTTTCTTTTTAAAGTAAGCATATCATATATCCAAAAGAGTGGTGTCCTTTAAAGTCATCACTTTCCATTTAGTTCATCATAAAATGACTGAGCACCCGCAAGTGCAAGGCTCTCTGCCAGGCTCTACGGTCCCCAAAATAAAACTGGGTCATTCAGCAGTCAGTGATGTTCACACTTCTCAAATTCTTTTCGAATTGCTTTTTGGGCCAGGCAGTGAGCAATACATTGCAAGGGTCTTGTTTCTTTGTCAGTAGCAATTTCCCTCAAAAATTTTTTTCCAGCTGATCAATATCTTAAAAAAAAATTAAACTGGCTACTAATATCTTTTTTAAAAATTTTATTTATTTTATTTATTTTTCTGGGGGGGAAGGTAATTAGGTTTACTTATTTATTTTTCAGAGGAGGTACTGGGGATTGAACCCAGGAACTTGTCCATGCTAAGCATGTGCTCTGCCACTTGAGCTATACCCACTCCCCCAATATCTTTTTGATTATCAAAAAAACTTAAGTATGCCCTCCTCTAAAGCACAGATGCCTGCCTCCACCAAGGAAGTTTAAAACAAAAATCAAAGCTATGCCACAGGTGCTGAAAACAATTATAAAGGAGTTTCCAACACATGTTAAGTAATGGCTCCATCAGAGGAATCGAGTGGATAACTCACCAAGGTGATTACTTTGAAAGGAACCTTTATTTGAACAATAGTTTCTTAAAAAGACACAATATGAGATATACAATCTCTTGCTACTGTGTGAATTCTTTCATAAGCAGAAAAATCAGTTATAATATATCTTTTAAGGAGTACTTCATTCTCAATCTTTTGCTGTTGCTCAGAAAAGTATCCACCCAGCAGGGTATTAATTAAGCCCAAAGAAGATGCCTAAATGTATACCTGTTGATTAATTACCATGTATAAAATGTAACACAGCTATTTCTCCTTCATACTTACTCCATCACAGATTTTCACAGGCAGGTAGGGAAAACGGAGACTCTGTGTGTGATTGCAAGGCTGCCAAGTTCCACCCCCACCCCCATCTACACTGACCTGGAGCTGTACTTCTTGAGGATGGTGTCCAAAAGGCCAACAAGCTCCTCGGCATTGATGAACTTCTGGGTGCTGAGGGTGTACATCTTCTCATAGAAGTCTGCGATCTCCATCCGAGCCTGAACGAAGAAGCAGAGTTGCTCTGACAGGTGGGAAAGGAGCTCTTCCACATGAGGTACGGTCCCTCCAAGGGCACTGCGGCCACTTGCTACCTTTTTCAGCTCGTTATGCAAGGAAGTATAGATGGTGCGGATGGAATCTTTCCTGCTGAAGAAAGACTGGCCCCCTGGTAGGCAAATGACATAAGCACACGACAGGTAAGGAAGAGAAACCAGAAGCACAAAACACCTCCCAGCATCCAAAAGGGAAGTATCTGAACTGCTGAGCTCAAAACGTGGTACTTTTCATCAGCCATATTCTCTGACTTCCATGATTTGGATTTAAATATTTTGTGACTCATAATTTCACTGCAGAGTAAGTTAAGCAAATGCCTGGTACAACTCATTAGTGTAGCAATGGACCTGTGTATAACCTCCTTACCCATGAGCCAATTCTCTCCCAACCCATTTCAGTAAGGATTCAGATATAATTCAGAGGGTGATTAACCTAGCAAGTGACATCAACCTGGATCTAAAAAGCCATACTTCCACATAAATATATTTAAAACAAAAGAGAACACCCAATTATGAAACACTGTTGTTATTCCAGGTAAATCAGAAAATTTTATTTCTGCTTTGGAGTTGCATTTTGCTTTTAAGCTGTACCAGAAAATGGAAAACACAGACTACTGGGGTCCCAGGGGGAGAAAGAAGATGTTAGTGCCGTTAACAAGGTTGACACTACAGGTATATCACAATAAGCACCACATTGTGAATTATTAAGAGTAAAAGACGATTACAAGTAACTGCTGCTGTAAAGGAAATCAGCAAAAAATAAGGCCAAATACATTCTTTTCAACAGTCAGAATGGTTCAACTGGCATAGGCATCATTTCCTTACTTCTGTATTATTATATGATCAACTATATTTCTAATTATAGAGCCAGCTTCATAGATGTTTTCTTAAGCAATTCTGTACCCTACCAAAGGGGCAGAGGCAGGACACGGGAGAAGGAAAAGACACAGGGCAGATTTAAAACAGTAACTCTTAGGAATATATAAAAATCTCAGAGATGAGTAACAGAATGCTTTAATGAATGAATTACTAAACACACCAATTAGGAGTGAAAATTACTTATCAAGGCATCTGTAAAATATCCTCTTAATGAATGAAACATTTCACAATATTGTTTTAGTTCACTGCCCAGTTTACATTTCAAGAATTGACTGTTACATCCCTTACTACTATGGTGACCACCTTGGCTCACGTTTTCTCATGTTTACCCATGTTTACCCATGACCTTCCAGGTTTTAACACTTTAAGTCTAGCTTCTCAGGAAACCCCTTCATCCCATGTCCTGGGAAACCCCTCAACCCTGGGCAACCCTACAGTGTTGGCTACCCTACTTACTGCTGATTCCATAAGCAAACTACTAATACTCAAAAAGTGTTTTCCCCAATATACTGCCCAGAGACTATCATTCACATCACTTCTCCTAATAGCAGCAAAAACCATATGGTACAAGTGGATTGACCTTGACACCAATATCCATGCAATGCTGAATCCTGGAAGGTTTGCCTGCCTTCTGCACCCATATTTGGTCTAGCTTTGCAGATTTTGTAAAGCGACAGTATGGAATAAAAAGACCTCTGTGCCCAGGTCTAGGACAAAATCTCTCAGGTTAGGAAGGTAACAAGAGTACCACGTAAACCCTAAAAGCTCTGGAAGTCCGACAGACTTGGTTCCAAATCCCAGCTTCCAAACTGACAAGTTGTGTGATGTGCACATGACTTAGCCGCCTTGGGCCTTAGTTGTCATTTTAACATGAAACCAGTAAAAGGGCTGCTAAGAAGACAAAATGAGACAACATGTGATATGCAACATGCCTGCAGCAAAGCGCATACTCAGTAATGCTAATCCCGTTCCCTTCCATTTATAGCTGCTATAAGGCATTCTCAACACTACACAGTTAGGCTTCTGAAAATTTGGTAAATTGGGAGCTTCAAGTACTGTTAAAAAAAAAAAAAGCTAGCTATGTGACAGATAGCTAGGTGACCTCAACTGTGTACTCACTTCCTCTGTTAAACAAGGTGATCTTGGTGCAAATTTTAACTCTAGGTGAAAAAAAGGATACTTTCCTTAAACATCTGACCCTTATCTGGGCACACGGAAACACCCATAAATACCAAAAATACCTTTTAAAGCTTATCAATAAACATCAATCACTAGTATGTAAAACCAAGGAACCTGACACTATAAGGAAGGGAGAGACCACCAACACATTTCTTTTAAAAAGGTCTCTCTTCTCGATGCTCTCTGGAACACAAGCCTATCTGGTTAGGGATATCCAGTGGGGAATGGCCTTCCTTCATGCTGGGAAACAGGGAATCAGAGACACCAGACTTCCTTCTCTTTTCAGTTTTTCGAATTGACAAAAATATGATTATTCTGAATTATTTCCAGATGGCTGTTTTTATGAATGCTCATTATTTTTCAAGACTTCATTGGCGGGGAGGCTATAGTTTAAATGGTAGAGCACATGCTTAGCATGCGTGAGGTCCTGGATTCAATGCCCAGTACCTCCACTAAAAAGCCAAATAAATAAACAAATAAACCTAATTACCTCCCTCCTGCAAAAAAAAAAAAAAAAATTTCAACAGTCTCTCACATCATGAAACTTCAAGTAATGAGTATATTGAAGGAGCATGCAAAACCTCTAACTGAATATTTTATTCTACAACTTCTTGCTAATGATAATTTTTAAACATCAGTTCTGAATTCATTTTCTACCCTGATAACTTCCAGCAACCAGAAGATGAGGAAACTCTCCAGTAATGAAACAAAGGGGAGAAAAGTGTGACCTTCTAAAGTCCTCTGCAGGCATTGAATCAGCATATTTTAATCACTGATCCTTCCCCAAACAGGTATATTCCCCTCTTAGAGTAAAGAGAAGGCGCTGAGATGAGGGCTCTGCCCAGAGTCTCTCAGCACTGAGACAAGACAGCAACAGAAGGCTCCCTGTCAGCTCCATCCTGTGCCCAAAGGCCCAGGCTTACATCTATAATCAGGACTCACTGCAAAGTTCTCCACTAAACACGGGTCACAAGAATGAGGTCAAAAAGACTGACTTTTTTAAACCATACTTTTTCATGTGTTTAAAAAATAGACACAAACTTTTTGTTTTGTTTTTTTAAACAAAACCATATAAACATTCTAATCAGCAATGTAGTTGAAGACCATGGGACTGTTTAAAATGGCAACAGACAAATTCTCCCAAGTTTTTAAGAAAATAGAGAGTCAGCTCAATAACCTGAAGTCATATTGTAAGCACGTTGGTAGCACAATCATTTCGGTACCAAAAAACTGTAAGATACTTGCAAAGTTAAAATTTTACATCTGGAACCTACGTTTACTGTACATGTGAGTAAGTTATGACGCATTAAAATTAAACATGCTATCTTCAGAACATTTACTCCGAAGTGCCAGATCACCTGGGAGCCTGGACAGCGCATGGGCATGTTTCACAGTGTAAATTGCTCCCTGGATCAATTTCAAACCACAATCCTCAGGCTCACCCATCCAGGCTGGGGTCCATGCAGAACTAATCACTTTACATAATCAGAGCCACCTCACAGAATCCAGGTCAGAGACAGTGATGGCCTTATGCATGTTCTTACGCACAACCAGTTCTATTTACCTAACACCAGGCACGTACAATTTAAACTAGCGTAGCAGATTTCTTAACTGAGATCTAGAAATAGTCTTTAGGAAATCCAACTGAACTGAATCCAATCCTCTCAGATTATATGCAAAATTGTACTACACACATATTTTTTTTCTGCGGAGCAAGGCCGCAGGTTTCATCAAGTTCTCAAAGGTGAGCTAAAAAAGCCCCCAAACTAGGAATCATGGCACTAGGATCCATCAGCATTCTTCATGAGGTAGGGGAATCTAAAAACACTAAAACTGCCAGAAAATTACTCACCTTCAATTTTACAGCCAGCATCCCCCCTTCATATAGATGTAATAAAATAAATCTATAATTTTTTATAAATCATATGGATACAAACACAATCTGACAGTTCAAAGGTAGGTATTCTGGTATGGGCGCTGTCACCTACCCACACAAGTGCACACACACAACCTGCCAATCTGCAGAAAGGGGAATTATAATACTGCGACAGCAATTATAAATTTGTGAGAAGTGCCAACGTAGAAAAGTGAGGAAAAAATACACAAGGTGAAACTATCTGACCAGTTTTTACCAATAAGTCAATTATTAAATAACGAGTTATTGTTTGAAAAGCTAAAAGCAAAATTAAGATCTCAGAAAGCCTGCTCCCTTGAGTGTTTCCTGAAAGCAAGATGTATATGATCACCTTCAGGCAATATAAGGAAACTGGGCAGAAAAACTCAAAACAGAGTCTGCACACAATTGTATATTTCTAGTCTACATTGTATATATGTGTCTTTCATTCATACCAGACCCGGTGCATCTGATAAAGGGTCTAAAGTAGGCTAAAGTACTAAAACAACTCTAAAAGCTCTAGGATTCATAATATTGGTAATTATAAATAGTAATAATTTCTAATGCATAGCCCTTGGCTTACACATATATTATTTCCTTCTGATCTACTCATACTAATTGCTTCTACTGATGAAAATCAGCTGAATCAACTCCTGGATTTTATTTTCAGGGCGAAGATTTATAATGGGATGATAAGTGTTTACCATTTTCCCTGTAAGTCCCCTATTGCTAGTGTTAGGCTTATTTCTTGCCTTTCCTGTCCAGTATTCATATTTTTCTTCATTCATTAAATATTTATTGAGGGCCTACAAACAGGGGGTAGGACTCCATCTGTACCTTTCCAAGGCCTTAACCTTAAGAGGCCAAACAATAGTGTTCATTAACTAGGTTGTACTGCCAAGTTTTGCTCCTCTGGCCGCAGTGTCGCTGGTTAGAAGAGCGGGGACATAGAGTTTGCGTTAACTTCTCATTTATGGCACCAATCCATGCATGAGCAAAATGGATACATCCATCGGTTTGGAGCACAGCCCTGCAAAAAACAGCCACCCCGTTGGCCAATCTATCAGCAGCGGAGGCCGGTGGGCGGGGTTTGTGGAAGCCGAGGGAAGGAAGGGACCGGTGGGAGGAGATCTGGGAGTGCCAAGTTGAGCCTGCAGCTAGAGTGACAGAGACAGGGAACCCAAGCCACTGCCGATAGGGGAATATACTCCCTCTCCTTCCTCCTCAAGGGGCACGGGGGGCGGGGCGGAGGTACCTAGTTTCTGCCCCAGGTAGGTGAGGCTGTGATAGACCTTCTCGGCCGCGGCCAGGTGGGCCAAGGCCGCCAGCAGCGACAGCCAGCTGCCCCCCGCGCTCTTGTTGGCCTCTCGTTCCTTCTCCACATTGTCCTTGGCCTTGTCGTAAGAGAAGATGCCCAGGTGAGAGAAGAACGTCTCCAGCACCGCCTGTTCCACCGGGACCGGGGCGGCCAGCGGGATAGACTCCCCCATGCGAGCTGCGCTCCAGCTCCACCCACGTGCCTCTCCTCTCCCTCTCACTTCCGGGTTCTCAGGGAACGTGCGCACGAGCGTGCGTGCGCGTGACCGCCGCAAGCGGCGGGCTCGTGAGCGCGCTGCCTCCTGGACCGTGCCGGGACCTTAGGACGCGGGTAAGGGCAAGGCCGGAGAGGCGTGGCCGCTTCCCAGCTCCTTAGCGACTTCGGCGCTTCTGTTCCAGCAGCTCTGACTATTCGGACCCTCAGCGCAGAGCGCGAGGCAGTCACCTCGTTGCTCCGTGGAGCTGACTGCGTTCTGAGGTAAGCTGAGGCCCCTCCCTGTGAGACTGCGTCCGTGCTGATGACGTCACTTTTGCATGACGTCAGTGGTCCGTGTCCTAACGTCTGGCCAGGGCTCGGCGGGGCACTGAGGGGCGGGGCGAGGTGAGACTCGGGCCTGGAACTGTGCTGGCTCCCACAACAAGGTGTCTGCAGCTCTCATGTCTTTTAAACCAACTCCAGTAAAAGTGGTTTATAGATCAGAAGCCTCATATGGGTAAAGGTGTTATCTCACTCCTGTGTCTGATTTTCTCCCAAACACACTTGGTGGGTAGTTCTGCCCCGTGTCCCATTCTAGTCTTACTGGGTTCGTGCTCATGAAAACGGTTTCCGAGCAGAGCTGCTCCTAGGCTTGGCCGTCCTACCCACACTATATTAGGCTTTCTTAAAAAGTTCTCAGAATGCAGGCTAAATTAATGTAGCTTCTGTTGAAGAATCTGAGTTGATGCACTTTGTCATTCAAATGAATTACAAATTCCTCTGACATTTAAGAAACTCCATAAATCCAGCTCATAGGTATGTCCACTACTTGAAACACTGCCCACTGCTCGCTTAGGTAATTTTTACCTTTCTCTTTCCTTGTATATGCTTATTTTTATGCTATTTAATCGTACTGTATTTAATCACATGTATTTACATGTCTCTTTCCCTTACTAAGTGGTGAACTCCCCAAAGCAGAGTCTAGAGTTCATTCACCTTTATAATCCTTTCATCATGGATGGCCCAATGATGTTTGTTGGATCGTATACCTGTTCCTTGTCCTCATTAATATAATTGGGTAAAATCAACTCTGTTGACTGTGATACAAGGCAGAATTTTGTATGTTATAAAGGTGAAAAAGGAGGCAGAAATTACATCGTTTTGGAAGAATCAGGGAGGCTTCCTGGAGGAGAATGTGATGGTTCTTGATGAATGTGTAGAAGTCAGTAATCAGAAAAGATGTAGTACTAGCACCAAAACCGACAGTGAAAGAACATACTCAAGTAATATAAGAATTCCTTAGATAGTAAAGGTGGCATCATAAATCAGTGGGGAAAGGAAAACTTATTCAATTTTATTCAATTATTAGTGAAGGAGACGTGATTATGGAGGAAAAAAGACTTTTACTCTGTATTCTGCAACAAAAAATAATTCTATGTGTAAAAAACAAAACCATAAACAAACTAGAAAGAAATACAAGTGAAAATTTCATTGATCTAGAAGTAGAGAAGAATCTAATTACAAAAGAATTGTAGGAAATTACAAAGGAAGAGATTGACTTGACTAAAAATTTCAAGAAAACACAATACCAACCTGGGGGAGAAATATTTGTAATGTATGTGAGATAAAGATTTGATGTGCTTAACTTATCAGGGTCTAGTAATCATAGAAGTGCAGATTAAACTATTGTCTTTTTCACCTAT